GAAGACGCTCTACAACACAGCGATTGAGTTTTTCAACCCGTAATTCTTTAATTTTCGTTGATAGCTTTTCCAAGTAAAATATCAAGATATGCCTGTATACGTTAATCCTTTTGAGGCCTAAAATAAGGAAGACGAATACCAGTTGTTTGTTGCTTTGTTTCGTATTGGCTGCTTCCAGGGTAATATTGACATTTTTTCGCGGTTTGACTTTGAAAGTCCCAGAATCTAAAAGTAGGAAGTTTGAGCTGAAGCGTAGAAAAAGAAGGAAAGCAATGAACGCTTCAACTACCAAAGTTCCTCAGTGGGAATGGGACTACGCTTTGACACCGGTATACGACCAGTACCTTTTCGCTGAATATTTAGATATTGGTAGCTTTCTGGCTTTTACCTACACACAATTTTCAATCGAGATATAATTCACTTTTAATTGGTTTTGTTCCTGGTTGCTGTTTATTTTAAGTCATATTTTCTTTTACTATAAGCTTCTACTGTTGTTTCAGTTATTCAGTTTGGTTTCGTAACCTTGTTTGTCACTGCGTTTCCTTTGGCTCCGTTGTTCGCTTTGATCAACAGCCTTCTAGAAATACGAGTAGATGCTTACAATTTTGTTGTCGCTATGCGTCGTCCACTGCCAGAAAGAGCGCAGAATTTAGGAATTTGGCTGACTATCATTGATAAAGTATCAAAAGCAGCTGTTTTAACAAATGTAAAGTTTTTTTAACTTTCAACATGTTTTTTTTGTTTAATATTTCCTTTAATTGATACATACTATTGTCCTGGTTTTTAAAAGCTCAGGACAAAATTGTTTAGCTATGGGGCTAATTACTCATTTGACCGTTAAAGCGGTTTTTTCACCCAGAGAAAAATTCTCGTTTAGGCTTTTGTAATCGCTTTTACAAGCGATTTTATTCCTCGTCTGGTCTACAAATACCGTCATCCCACCTTGGAGGGATTTGTCAATAGTACTCTATCTGTGTTTCAAGTTAATGAAAATCTAAATCTTCCTTCGTGGAGCTACTGGGGGAACGTCACTGAATGCTGGTAAGGGTCTTTACTTTGCTCTTTTAGCACTTTCTGTCGTTTTTGCTGAAGGCTTTAGCTCCCACTTTGTTTTCTCGTAAAGTCACCATAATTGTTAATGCTGGTTAAAAACTTTTAGGTTTCGTGACTATCGTTTACCTCCCTGTTCACTCACTTCAAGTACGGGGGACTGTGATGACAATTATGGTGTCACTAATATGTGGTGGATTGTTCTTGCATTCAGGCTTGGATTTGTAATTATTTTTGCGGTAAGCCTTTCGTGGAACTGTGTATTCAAGGATTTTCTTAAAAATTATGCTTTAAGACAAATCATTTCTAGCATGTCATCCTTGCCATTAAAGGATTGGTATCATACATAATCCCTGATATGCCTTCCAGAGTATTTATTCAGATGCAGAGGCAGCGATCGTTCTCAATAGGAGGTAATTCATTAGGTACTAACGGAGTAGTTTAGTCCACCTTTTTAAATGAATAGTAGGTTTCTGTTCATCTAAATCTATTTTGGTTAACTTCACATGTTGTGTAAATTGCAGACTTAGGTTAAATTGATGTCTTTTATGTCTGAGTTTGTCAAATATAGACATTCTTACACTTAATGGTTCCCCATCACTTTTGTTAAATGTTTGTAACCCACCACACAAGACCTCTGTTTTTTACGATTTAACTGAAGTTTTGTTGCTATTATCCCATTGCCTTACTTAATGCCTTGTTGATTCCGTGTTTACTTATTCATTGCTTTTTTTTATTTCTAATGGTCTTTCGCTATTTCCCGTAGTTGTTACGATTTCAGCATTAATTCCACGTGTAGCTAGGTTACTTCTTCTAGTTAGCTGATTTCCACAGCGCAACCTGCAAACGATAGAAGTTAGTGCAGATAAGCCATTTTTTTGAATGGAGTATAGAAAATAATTGGATTTAACTTTTTTATTTTCGAAAAATAAAGAAGAATTTCACTCCAAACCGTGTTCCTGTAAGACGAACTTCTTCCATAACGAAGATTCATTTTGTAGCATTCCAGAAGTTCAGTACTTCTTCGCGTAATCTACCTAAAGTTGCATAATTTCTACGAAATTATTCGTGTCCTTTTGCAGCAAATCTTTCAGGGACTCACAATTTAGTCAAATGTTTCGTCATGGGACACTAAAGAGGAGATACTTTAAAAGGCTCAGCAGTAGAAAACTGAGCATATTTGAGTAAATGTACCAGAATCAGTCAAGGATTCTTTATTGTTATCTAGTAAGAAGCAAATATTTTGTAGTATCGCAAGAAGGTCCAAACTGATTCACTTACATCTTAAGAGTTCCTTTATAGCAGAGAAGTGTTGGGATTTTCTGCTTTATTCGCGAATGGGTAGCAAAGGAAAAGATCTTGAGGAAACATGTCTGCAGTTTAGGCGTATGAAAGATATCACCAACAAACTACGAGTCGTGAGTGCAGTTTTGTAGATCGTGAAAAACAAGTACTTAATGGTTTTTTATAGGATTTCAAACGCTAAGGAAAAAAAAAGGTGAAAAATTTTTGAGTTACCTTTGACCAACTGACTAGTTTCAAACTATTAGGCCGACCAGAAGACGTTGCGAAAGCAGTGATCTCCTGGCGGCTTTTTACTCCCGAGAAGAGTTGCTAGGACAGGTTACGAGAGCTTTGTTGGATAAAAGTCAACTTTCTGTGGTCTTCTTCACCGCCTTATAGCTTTACTTGTTTACAGACTTCCCAACAGAATCTCGCAGCGTTTTTTATTTTTTGAATCAGACGTGGTCTTTTATATGATATTCGCTTCCCGATATTTATCGTCACAAAGTTGTAGTTAAGCACCGTGAGATGCTGCGTTTTGCCCCAAGCGACAGAGATCTGCTGTTTTGTTTCTTCTCCCCAAACTTTCAAGATACGGCATTTAAACTGTCTACCGTTTCACACATGCGGACTATAAGGCTTTGTATTTTCAGTTATTGAAATGTCATTAAATGCAGCAAGCCTTTCGGGTCGTCTTCTTTCCATAAGCATATACATTACATTATAAACAACTTGATGTTAATTACAGATGTTAAAAATAGCAAAGAATGTTCTATAAATTCTACAAACAGCCATTTATGAAAAACTTCCCCGAACGAGTTCGTGCTCCGTGATCAAACGTTTCTGATCTGATAATGTGTAACGGGATTTTTGAAAAGAATTGATAACTACTAATCCCCCTGCAGAAATAAGTTGTCGCTTTTTCGCAGCGAAATTGCTTATTAGAGCTATACAAGTCGCAATTCCCACTACTGAAGACTAGAAAGAAATGCATGGTTTATTTAGTTGCGAATAACGACTGTTCAGCAATCTTTGTAAAGTATTTTGATTTCTCCACTCCAGGGAAGCTCTAAAAAAGATTTTTTTTTGTCCTTCAACGATGAAAAAAGCTTTAGTTGCAATGTTTATTAAGATATTTGGAAGAGCGA